CTAAATGTATACCTTTCAGTGCAATATTATATTCAATTGTATTCTGTATTTGTATTGTAGTGGTTGAGGAAATGGATAAAGAAATGTGATGATGACAGTGAGACTTCCAATTGGATTGCTGCTAATACTAAAGAATGCCCTAAGTGCCATGTAACTATAGAGAAAGACGGTGGATGTAACCATATGGTTTGCAGAAATCAAAACTGTAAAGTAAGTTGCTTCTCAAAGATGCCAGTTGTGATATTCATACATGTCTGTTTATATGTATGTTATTTTACATCCCTGTACCATCTGTCTGTTCTTGTTTATTGCAGGCTGATTTCTGTTGGGTTTGTTTAGGCCCTTGGGAGCCACATGGTTCATCCTGGTATAATTGTAATCGTTACAATGAGGATGAAGCGAAGAAAGCGAGGGATTCCCAAGAGGTAAGCGTAAGTACCAGCGAAATGCTTTTATTATCTCTCTCAACATGCACAATAAAATACATACAACAAAGGAATAAGGAATGAAATTGCAGGGCTTGAACTTCACAGAGGCATTATAGGCAATTGCCTTGATGTCCATAAAGTTTGCTTTGATGCTCTTCAAAAACTACTGATTTTTCCTATACAATTCCTAAATGCTAAGGCAATTTTATAAAATTTTGCTTTGAAAATGAGTGCCATCTCAACTCCGAAGTTCAATCCCTGTTATTGGTTTATCTGGCATTTTATATTACTTCAAAACTTTTGTTGCGACAAATGATCGGTTACAGTACAGCTCAAAATTATTGCTTATTGGGTACGATGGCACTGCATTACACCTTATTCACATTTTATTTGCGCATGTAGCTTTGCTCATTAATTTTGCACATTGTTTTCATGCAACTGAAAACAACAAGGTAGCTGGACATTTGCAAACAAAACATTTCAAAACAAGACTGCTAAAGTGTGGCTTGGTTTTTGTATTGGAGTAACAAATTATGTTACATTATTCAACATATGTTACAAATTGAATGAGTTACATGTTTCAAATCATGGTGTTGTATGAATTGTACTTGCAAATCACATCATTTAAATAAATAGCAACTGTTCATTGTTGGTGTGTTGTCTGGTTTGGACAAATTTATTAATGCCACTATTTTGTGCACTAATTCTGGTGTGAGTTCAGTAAAATCTCTTTCGCTGTTTCATCCAGCATGGACCAACGAAATATCGTTCACTTCAGATTTGAAATGGCTTTGTGTGTGTGTTTTTAGATTCGCCAACGTTGTTGGTGAAAACAATATTATCATAATCTTTGAAATAATCAACCACTGTACCCAATACTTCAAGGCAGTGATTGCATAGTCTGGCATCTCCCTCTGGAAATTTGCTGGCATTCAAAACTTTGTATAAACAGACGAGTATATCAGCAGTGTTGTCCACAAATAAAATTTAAAGAGGGGTGCTAATTTACATAAAATTGGCATATCTAATTTGCATATGATTAGCATACTAATCAAACATTTCAAAGAAAATTCTTAGCACTTTTATATATTTACATCAACCTTCAAATACTGTGTACAAATACAATATTAATGTTCTTGAATTATTTTGATGAATAAATTAAACCACTTGATGTAAAATAATATCAACTTTGACAGATCATGGAGGGGTAAACAGATTTTTAGCTCCATGGACAGATGAATAATATCCATTTTACTCTCTGTAATAGAACAAGTTGTGAAATTCTAGCCTTTCATTCATTTCTTTTAAATTTCTTTCAAGTATTTCTCATTTTCATCAATTTTATAAATTCACTGACATATTGTAATAGTTGAAAAAACTCAAGTAATAAGAAGAAAAATATTTTCACATAACAAAATTATCATTTAAAAGAAAAAAGAAAAAATCGAATCCGATGACTGTAAATAAATTGATCATTATGTTGATTGCATTGTGGGTACTGAGGACGAAGGTCAAATCAGATACCGTGTCATCCATGTTTCGGTGTTTACCGTATGTTTTGTTTTGCTGATTCTTTTTATGATTCTTTTTACTTTTCACCAATAAAAGGCAAGTAACAAGCAATTGGACCAATAAATTGTTGTTGGTTCTTCTGTTCTTAAGTATTTAAGCTAATTCAGGAATGATGAGGGAGCTTGTTTTGACTCCCCCCCCCCCCATTGCGTGATTAACACAATACTTGTGACAATCACTTCACGCATCTAGTCATTGTTTTTTGTTTATTTATTCAGCCAGTTTTTCCCCAGACATCCAATCCATTGTCCTAGTTGTCACCTATGCCACTATATGTCTCTTAGTTCTTTGTTTTATCGCCTGTCAATTTCATAATAAAAGGTCTCTCAATAATGTCGTTGGGACATCTTCCGGGACTCGTGAAACAGCTGTTTACCAAAAACAAAGGATGATGCTGAAGATAAATAGAGGGGCGCTACAAATTGAAGAGGGGCGCTGCGCCCCTCTTAAACCCCTCGTGGAGAACACTGTATTCTTGTGGAAACAGGTTTGCCATGCTATTGATAAAGTACTCAATAAACTCCTGTCTAGAGTTGACATACCTTACACTACTGTACACAGTATCCAAACACTTTATTACAAATAAAAAATGTTGATTTTAAATTGTATTATGTAAACTAAAATAATTTCACAAAAATTGATCATTGCACAATAATGAGTTGTTTGAAGATTTGTACAGTAAAGTTCATGTTCAGCAGCAGTTTGAGTCTCATTTCCTACTAAAAAAATCACTCGGCTTGCTTTGCTTAGCTATTCTGAATTTGTATGTTTCTTTTAATATCTATTGTGTCTGGTAACTGTTCTAATAAATCGGAGTGTCTTTGGACTATAGCAAATTCTTTCAAGGAGAAGGGAGAGGGACAGTTAGCAGTGCTTTATTGATCCCTACAACGTATACGAAAAAAACACTCATCTATTGTAGTGATGGATCTCCTTCCAGTTACGTGACAACTTGAAAGTTTCCTCCCCAATCACAATTCCCTTAACATTTTGTTAATTTTTTTTCAAAAATCTTCTCGACCTACCTCACTTATGAAATGGTTGATCCCTAATCAAAACATTACTTTGCGAAATCGAAATCTGTGCGACTTCCATGTTATTGTACTGATGCAACAATAGAAACATGTGAAATATGCCTGGCGACTTTGGCCAGTGAACTGTAGTCAATTTAACATCATTGTTAAAAGCATCTATTGTTAAATGTACCGAGGCAGTAGCAACCGAGAAAACAAAATAGTTGAATTAATTTAGTTGGACAACGAGACGATACTGCACACAGATTCCCTCACAGTGATCGATAGGCAGTAACGGAAGCGACTCTACTTTTTGGCCCGAGTTATCATAACCCCGGAAGAACAAGAACACGCATGCGCAAGGCTAGTTAGCATAATTTATTTGGATGGATAAACAACAGACATGGTCGTTGCGTTGGTTTTTTTCATTTTCGCTATCAGTTCCAGTTACATGCGTATTTATCGATATTTATAGGAGTTCAAAGTGAATAAATATCAATACTAAATAACAAGTGAGTTGTTATGTTTTTTTGTTGGTAATCAATTCGATCGGGAATTTTCCTTCGGCATTCCGATTCACCCCAGCCACATGCATAGGGACTATGACTGTGTCCCGGCGACTCACAAAACTTTTGCGGGTCGTCATCGTTGTGGTTGGTTTCATTCATTCATTGAACAAAATTGTACTAGTAAGTTATTCTCATGGTATACATATTTCAACAAAACATTAATGACAGCATGTTTTTTTATCAAGACACTTTCAAATTCTTAATTATGTTTTTGGCGTTCCATAGCCATCGGTACGGTGTGCTTGCCGTGGTAAACTAAATTATAAATAAGAATAAAACATAATTGTCGAAGCCATCGGTTGAATGAAAGGTGTGAAAACGTGCTAACTTTGTCCTTTGTGAGCTTATTAGTTGTCTGAGATGGAAGGCAGTAGTCTGCAAGATATCCGGGAACTATGTCCGTTATATGCAGTTCAACTGATCACTGCGGCCGCTGAAGCGTACTTTAACATGTAAAATTCGTAGGGACTGTTCGGTTGTGACCACTATAGGCAGGTGGCCACTGTATCCAGGTGGCCGTTAACACAGGTTTGACTGTAGAATACTTCTAGTAGGCTGAAAGAAAGTGTGAAGCTAATAGTGTAGAAAGCTAATAAACATGAGAACGCACTAAACTAGAATTATCATGAAAAATACTAGTCAAGTTTAGCCAACCAACACTGATTGAAGGAAGTGATGAAATTTAGAAGTAATTCACTATCAATGAATCTATCATCACTTTTAAAATAGCTTTGAAATAAAAGTAGTCCCGAGATTGCCAGAGAAATGACTACATCTATGGCTTTCCTTCATCGTTGATTGTGGAAAACTAGACACACCGAAGAAAGTTTAATGGTAAATCAAACCTCTGTCACAAGAGACACATTTTCATAATCAGCTATTTATTTCCTTACTGATTCAGTCAGGAGTACAGTTTAAATGTTTAGAAAGCACAATTAACCTCCATTTTGAGCAGGAAAATAAACAAGACTCAACTGAGATTGATAGTTTTTAAAAGTGGCCATGTTGTTGACATGTGGTATGCACATTACCACCACATGCACAAAGCTATTAAGGGAGCAGTAAAACAAGATTATACAAGTTGTGTGAATATACACCAAGCCCCATGACTGTTCAACTTAGGGTGGTCAAAGCAGTTTATCTGAGACTATTATCTGAGTCTTGTTTCACTCATTTATGAAGTCAGTTTCAAGCTTCATTGCAACTTGTCTACCGCCGATTGATGGTTGGCGATGCAAAATGACAACCACAGTCACTAAAAATGCACACAGCAGCAGAGTTGTGAGAATTGAATATAAAATAATACGTTAGAGCAAATCTAGGTCAAAGGGTCAGGTTGTGTACAGATTTCCAAGAAGTTCAGAAAGGAATAGTTTAACCATTTTATATCACTGTACCATTTTTTAACAGGACTTGTTGGAGGTTGTCACTTTTTATATGACAAGCTTAATTCTAATACATGTAGTTGTGTTTTTAAGTTGAACAACACTGTATGAATAAGAAAGTAGAGACAACATCATGGCAATTAACAGCGAAATGCGCCTATGCATAGGCATGTTAGATAGGTGCTAACACACGTTAGCTTTGCGATAATATAGTGTCAGCAATGGTTAGTGCGCAAGGCTAGCATTTTGGTTACAAGTTGTGAGCTGTGCTGTACCTGTAGCCTGGTTATTTACCAGAAATTAATTTTTTTGCAAAGTCAGTTAGCACCAGCTCGACTGAACTGACTTCTGACTTTCATGGACCTATAAAAACCATATGATCTGACTCAAGTACAAGGTATATCAAGATAATTATCAGGGATTTTAAAAACAGGCCATCTAATTTAGGGTATTAAGTAACCAGTTCGTTTAATGGTTTTGTTTCTGATAGCTTGTATGGCCTTGATGGGTCAGACACAATACCAGGATTTGCCAGTGTAGAGTTTTATGTAAAGTATCACTACTTTATCTTGTTGTTAACCATATCTTTTTTAGGCCACACCAATTGAAAACACATTATCTGTCTATAAAATTCCCTTCAATATACTTTTTTTTTTAATAAATGTTTTTGTGCCAGGCGACAGTTCCAGACATTGAATGTCACTGTTGTCTCTCCTGACTTTTTTTTTGTAAGTGCAAATTGCAAGTGCTAGTGCTGACACATAGTGCATTTTGCCACAGAAGTCATTTCCTGTTTGGGACTACATGACAGGGCTGTGTGGCCATCTCCCTATCAAATGGCAATTTTAATGCGCTATCCTGGCGTCAACCAGGCCCGGTCGAACACAAGCACCTGCGAACCTTAACCAAGGTTCCCCCAAAGTCGCATTCGTTAGTGAATGAATCTCGGCAAGTGGAATTGGCCTTCCCATTGAGTCTGTGGCACACTCACCCAGGGTAGGGGTCAACCCTTTGATGTTCAGCCTAAGGTTGGATTTAAACTCGGGTCTACCGATCATGAGTCTGATGCGACAACCACTATGCTACCAGTGATACTTTATATTACTTGAAAGTAAAGAATTCATTGGATTCATCTCCAGCATATATTGTATACAAGTTTGTGAGACCATTTTCAAACAGTCACTTGTTAAATAATCCAAATTCTGCGTTTGTCTTTGTGCAACAAATAATCTTCCATATTAGTCAAGGTATAATCACTGACACACATAAACTACAACCATTGCAGTATTGACTT